AATACGGCTAATGTTTCTCTCTCTGTAGCTATATAATTCCTTTGTGTATGATTCAACGTTTTACTAAAAAATGCCAAAGGATGGCCATTTTGCATAAGAACCGCACCCACAGCATAGTCCGACGCATCTGCTGCAATTTCCAGGTTTTCGTCCCCCTCCGGGAATTTCAAAACAGGGGCATTGATAAGCGCTTCTTTTAACCTTTCGAATGCGGTATTTGCTTCTGCTGTCTACGTAAATTTACTTCTCTTTCTTTTAATTACTAACAAGTGTTCAACAATATCAAAAATCTTTTATGAATGACCGATAATAAGAACATAACACAAGGAAAGAAGAAAGTTTCATGGCGGTCTTGGGAGGTGGGAAATTCTTGATTGCTTTTATTTTTTAATCTTGAGTTTCTATACCCTTTTGCGAAATTTTATAACCCAGATATTTAAGTTCTTTAGTTGCGAACTTGCATTTTGAGGCGTTAATTGTAAGACCGGCCTCTTTTAATAATTTAAAAACTTCTAGATCTTTAATGTGTTGTTCCAACGTACTACTCGTTATAATTATATCATCTAGATAGATTAAAGTCGATTTTCCTAGGACAGGCTTTAGAACAATGTCCATAGCTCTCTGGAATGTTGATGGGGCCCCAGACAACCCAAAGGGCATGCGTAAAAATGCATAAGTGGCCGATTTTGTTATAAACGCGGTTTTATGTATGTCTTCGGGTCTCATAGCTATTTGATAGTAGCCAGACGTTAAGTCCAAAGTAGTCATGTATCTAGTAGATTTAATGTTTCTAATAATTTCCTCTATAACCGGCAAAGGGTAAACTGGGAATTTAGTAATACTATTCAGTTTTCTGTAATCGATAGCAAACCTCCAAGCCCTTTTATCCGACGGAGGAAACTCGTTCTTTTTCCTACATAGTACGACTGGACTCGCGTATTCACTATTTATGGGCGTTATTATTTTGTTCTTTAACATTTCCTGAATATGTTCTTCTATGATTAGCTCTTTCTGTTTATCATAGCGATAACGTTTAGTCCTACAGGGTTTGTCGGCAGTTAACTGTATCTCATGCGTAACTATTTGACAGCTACCAGGCCGTTCTGAAAACAAGTTTAAAAAAGTACTCACCACTTGCTGGACGGCTTGACTTTCATGGTCATTCAAATGGCTAAGGTCAACTTGCGGTTGTTCCACTGGTTCCACCACCCTCCGGTCCATCTCCAGCACAATAGAACTGTCCTGAAAATTGAGTTTGACCTTCGCGGCCCTTAAAAACTCCATACCTAAAATAAGTGGATTTTGCAAATTTTTTACTACAAAAATTAATACTTTAAGGCTTTCATTTTGGAGTTGTATTTTTAAAGATAGTTTTCCGATACATTGACAAGTTTGTCCTTGCGCTGCTATGATTTCTGTGTTTTTATTTTTCAATAATCGAAACCTATTAAAGTTCTTAAAAAATATCACTCATAAAATTACCTTCTGCTCCTGTATCGATGAGGGCTTCTACTGGTACATCGCCAACCAGGACTTGTATAATTGGTAACTGTGAGTTCCTTACGATGACCGTATTTAAGTGTCTTTTTGAGGGTTTTTTCAAAACTTCCGGGGTCTGGACCCTCGCTTTCACAGGCCTCTCTACTCGTTTAAAGCTTTCCTTTCAACTTCTGCCTTCTGGGTACGCGGACGTTTGTTTTCAAATTTCCTTTTTGGGCCTTGACCTTCGAGGTTCGATGAGTTAGCTTGATAGCTCTTTCCCCCATAAGAGCGGTTTGCATTTCTGGTCTGCTCATTTGAAGATTGCCTTCGGATACTTTGAGAATACGATGCCCCTCTAGCTTTTTCCGCTATTCTGCGATTTTGAAACTTGACCGCCAATTCGAAGAGCTCCTGCAATGTGCTTGGGTTTCGAATTTCGAAGTAATCTTGAACAGCAGGTAACAATTTTGGTAAGATTATTTCAATAATCTCCGCGTCGGGTTTCTTCCCATACAGCATATCCGTCAGCTTAATTTTTCGCAGAATAAAGTCCGTCAACTCTTCTATATTCCGTTGATAAAAACTATATAGTTCGGCTTCTTGCCTTGCTTTCACTATGGGGAAGGTTTTTAATAACGATTTTTTGAAATTTTCAAATGTATATGTCTGGCCTCCGAATTCCCCTAATAAAAATTTGCCTATATTCTTCCACCATAGCGCGGCCTGTCCTCTTAGTGCAGATGTGGCGATGGCAACTTTTTATCTTTCAGGCAGAGGGTAGAGCTGGAAGTGATTGTCGAGGCTTTCTAGAAATATCGCCACCGAATTTTTCCGTCGAAATTGACGTTTGGCTTAATTCACGCTCTCATCGTCTGGACCAGGTATCCAAATCCTTCCAATTGGCTTGCCATTTCTTGTTGTTGTCCAGCAACTTCCATCCAATTTTCGGCCATTTCAGTTCGACAAGTGTTCGGGCGCCAATGGAACGTTGCGCGCTTCCAACCTGCACGCAACAATAGTGACTGCTGATAACTGGAAAGGAGACCAAAGTCTTGAGAAGGGTTTAAATCCCTTTTTATTCAACTTTAGAAGTTACAAATGCGTGCTCTTGACGCTCACAAACTACGCCGACCCGGCGGTAAAATAAAAATAAGAAACTGAAAAGAGATAATAACAAGTGACTAACTACGAGGCTCTCTAAACGTAACTAACCTCACCGCGTTCTAAAATACCGCTGATAATTCAGCAAACTTCTGAATATTACGTTGAACGATTAACAAACTGCCGAGGCAAGCACACAGGCCGAAACGCGTGGTTCTTCAATTTCTAACTAGCCACCTCCACGCTCGTGAAGCAAGAAAGCACACCTTCGAACTCGTTTCCCTTCTATTTAACTTAGATTACTTCCGCTGACAATTTGAATCCTTGCGCGTTCTACTAAAATTTACATACTCTGTCACTAGCAATTCCAGGGGAAGGCTTAACAGGAAAGATAGTTTAAACTTAAAATAAATGTTAGTTAAAATAAAATATAAACTCTACAACTTTCTAAACCTAAGTTTTGTAGCTTCCAGAACTGTTGTAATTGATCTGATATCATGTTTTCACTTATTATTACTTTCATTATTAATAATTCACTAAGATCATTATTTACATTACCCTGCAAACACCATCCAAATAAAGATTTTCTGTGACTACTACATTTCTTGAAATTCTTTTAATTTTACCAGTAATTATAGAATAGTAGAAATCTGCCCCTATGAGAATATCAATTTTGTCACTTTGTCTACAACAGTCTACTAATTGTAAATTTTGTAAAACTTTATTTTTCTTAGCAAAGTTCAAATCTGGAAGGGAGATAACAGTACTGGATATATTTTCGGTTTTAAGAAGCTTAATATATATATATATATATTACAGTAAAAATAATAAATCGGTGATTATATAAAATTAACGATGATTATACATAATCACCACTGAATTTAGTAAATATGATAAATTATTTCATATTTATCAAATTTACCGGTTAGTTTATAAAATCCCCAACTCATAACGAGGAAGGTTATAAATTCGGATTATTTATGGGGAAAAAAATCATTTATTTGCGTTTACATGTAAGTTTATTTCTTTAGACGTATTAGACTGTTTTAGAATTACAAAGCTTGCCAGATTTTTTACATTTGCACTTATCATCTAACCACTAAATTTGGGAAATATCCAACTTGTAATGGTAAATGTGATAAATATCATGCCTTATTGGGCCAGTAGAATAGAGTGCAGGTTTTTTTTTTTTTTTTGAGTAGTTACTATTCAGAAAGATATTTTTTGGTTGGACAATATGGCGTAAGAGACCACGAATTACAATATTTTATATTTTACAATTAAAAAGTCAATAAATGGTTATTTTAGGTCACATACATTTATTTAGCCTGAACGAAATTTGAATAAGGGCCTGACAGGTGTTGTGAAATGAAAAAAAATGCAATTTACATGAGCTTCTACAAAACAGTTGCACATAAAAAAATAAATAAATAAATAAAATGCAGTTACATATAAAAAAACAAACTAAGCCCATATTCTAGGGAAAAAAAAATTTTTTTTTTCAAATAACGTTAAATGCTATTATTACGAATTACTAAATAGTTCAAGTTTACTTATTTAAGCATATTAGACTATTATGACATTTAGAATTACAAAGTTTGCCAGAATTTTTTTTACATTTGCACTTATCAGACTCGCATTGTCCCTTACAAACACATCGCTGATATTCCTGACCTCCAGATAGAGATGTCTTTCTAACGCATTCTCGAAGTGATATTGTTAGATCTGGAACATCGTCAAGCAAAATAAATTTTTCATTCACAAATTGTGAATTGAATTTCTGGTATACAACTGTGAAAGTCTTCCTTGTGTCGTTCCTAACTGATAAAACTCTTCATTTTGAACTTCTAATATCACCGCTAATAAATTTCGGGGATCACGTTTTGCTCTGTCAACGTCTGGTATTCATAGTTTCACTGTGTCACCAACTTTACCAGCAGGAAATTTAAGATTTGAAACCTTCAACATTTTCTTTGCTTGTAATTCTAAACCTTCTTTAGCACTCATTCTATGTTTTCTTACTTGCTCTTGCCTGCATAAAATATCTGTCTGGATTAGAGCGACTGCTGCTTCATTCTCTTTCTGAGTCTTAAAATTAACTTCAGATGGAGGGTCATTTTGAGATAGATCGTTATTGTCCATATTAGAAACATTTTCTGTTTCGCTATTGGTGTTTTCAGAAGCATTATTAACTGTTTCGATTAATGTCTGAAGCTCTTCTTCAGTTCTAAGATGTTCGATAGAATCATTGGGGAACGAAGACGTTTTCAAGCCAAATTTTGCAAGCGTCCCAAACATTGCTTCATAAGGAGAACCTTCATGAGAACCTTCATGAAACATTGCTTCATAAGGAGAACCTTGATGCCTTCATGAAATGCTCTATTTTTCATAAGTTGCACAAAACGTAACCCTTCGGACTATTTACTGGTGTGGTTGCTTTCCAACCAAGAACTTAGCATATTTTCAATATCTTGGTTTGCACGTTCAACCGAACCTTGAGTCTGGCTGTGCCTAGGTTTTTCATGCACAATTTTCAGATCCGGCCACATTGCACAAGCTTCTTCTACGATTTTGTTACTAAACTCACGACCGTTGTCACTTTGCAGTACACTAAGGGCTCCAAATATAGTAAAAATATCAATTAGATGACATGCAACCTCTTCTGCACGTTGGTTTTTTAGGGCACGCAACTGTAAGAACTTCGTCAAGTGGTCTTGATAGACAAATATAAAATTATTATCTGGTTGCGACTGCATGTCAATTAGGTCAACCTGGCATCTTGAGTTATCTCTTGAAAGTCCATTGGCCTAACAACAAGTCCTTTCCTAGGTACTTTTTTTTTTTTTTTTTTTTTTTTTTTTTTTTTTTTTTTTTTTTTTTAACAATAACTTTCACACAAATTTGTTTTTGTACTTTTTTTTGAAGTTCTTTTAACATCCTGTTTCTACCACCATCGCCTATTGATAAGTGTACCTCATGAATTATGGTAAAAATTTCTTCAAAGTGCACGTAAAATCTAACATTGGAGCTGTCTTCACTTACGGGAAAGATAAGTTTTTCAACATTGCCTACTTTCATTACATCTTATCTTTTTAGTCTCTGCTAATTTTCCGGTTTTTTCCCACTACTTTTGTTTTTGCTATTATTCCTTTTCTTTAACAAATCATAATATCTTTTTTTCGTCAGAAAACCACTGTTTGTTTTCTTAGTATCCACAATAGTAAGTAATTTGGAATTTAAACTCTCAAGCATACCAGCCATTATTCAATAATCTATTTTTTACAAGAGGGTAGCGAAACAACGTCTATTTTTGCAATAGTAATGACGTAAAAATAATCATACGTCTTTATTTCTGCAAATCACGTTGCTGCAATATGCACATTACTAGTTACTCGGCTCGGTTATATACCAGTAAGTAGACAATTTTCATTATTTTCTAAAAATTTTAAACTTCACATTAATGAAAAATAGGTTCTTAAATTCCTAAATCACATTATATTCTCTGTAGGCAGGCATACTAGAATTCTACACATAAATAAATAAAAAATTTAATTTCTCGCAATGAAAGAAAATATTATAAGAAAATAAATACTACAAATTAGGAACACTAAGCAATGCTTCACATACACACACACTGTATTATCAAAGAACTCATATTATCAAGTGCGATTACGACTGCAAATGATAATAATGAGGTAAAAGTTACTTATAGGGTCAAAGTTTACAATTTTGCTACTGTTGAGTAGATCGTCGGGCTATCGATATATATCGTAAGTCGGAAAGCATTATAAACATATCAAAAACAAAAAATTAAAAATACAATTTAAATTAAAAATGATGTCTTAAATATAATTCACAATTAAAACAACATCACAAATTTAAAATACACAAACGATATGTTAAACATTGCATATAAAATACGTTACATTACAGCTCGTCATCACACATTATCTCGTTTTCCTTTGTACACAACGATTCGTATTCGCTCGAAAAACATCAAAGCTCGGTGTCGACGTACACATCCATCTATTTCCACCTTAATATCAGAGAATTGCACAACCTCGGCATTGCGCACTACATTGGCTCTGCCCATGTACACATCGATCTATTTCTACTTAAAAAAACATCCTAGAATTGCACAAACTAGGTACCGCTCACAACCTTGTCATTGCGCACTACATTGGCTCTGCCCATGTACACATCGATCTAATTTCACTTAAAAAAATCCTAGAATTGTACAAACTAGGCACCGCGCACAACCTCGGCATTGCGCACTACATTGGCTCTGCCCATGTACACATCGATCTATTTCCACTTAAAGAAACATCCTAGAATTACACAAACTAGGCACCGTGCACAACCTCGACATTGCGCACTGCATTGGCTTTGCCCATGTATATAGCGATCTCTTTTCACTTAAAAATTAGACATAACTCTGCATTGCTCATATACTAAGAAATCTGCTTTCACTTAAAAGAAATCGGAAAATTGCAGAAATTCGCGCATAAGCAATTCCATTAATTCGCGTTGTAAAAAAAAAAAAAAAAAAAAAAAAATTTTTTTAGGAAAATTGAGCTTACTACAGGCGAATCCAGATCCTAGCCTAATTGATTTCTCAGCCGAACATTTCTTGCAAATACTACCATTCGATGACTTTTTCTAACTAACTAACCAGCATGGTATCTTACATTTTTCACAGAAAACGTTATCCTTCATAATCATCGACAATCCATCAAAAATCCTCTAAAAAGTTCATACTCTATTGTTAATTCATACATAAATATCTGTTTCCAAAATTTTACGCTTGTTTGAAAACTCCCACCTTAAATTTTCCTTTATAATCTCCTGATACTTAATTACAAACATCACTAACACAGCAGTTTTAGAGCAAGCAATAACTAAACGCAAAAATATCACCTCAAGTAGCCAAAAAAATATATACAAAATTGTATTCACGGTATCTGAGCGTTAAACAATCGCCAATAACAGTGTTACGAATTGTGTATTTAGATATTAATTTTAGTAAAATTCTAATTTAAAATGTTGTATTTCCTCCTGCAACGCAGCGTGAGACAAATTTTAAGAGAAATCTATACCGGAAAATACAGGGCACGTGCATTAAACTTTGAGTAAACGGATATGTCGTTTTTTTTTTTTTTTTTTTTTTTTTTTTTTTTTTTTTTGTTTACGGATATGTCGGTAATTTGTATTCAAATTCAATAAATGTAACTGACTACTAAATTAGCTGTAACCGTAATTCAATCCTCTTGTTTACATTGCGTTTGGCGAATAGTATGGGTTACCAGATCATATCATTTATCGCCGCTCTTGGCGATATTTTTTTTTGTTTAAAATTCCGGATGGGCTATACGAAAGGTGTGCCTTGAAAAGAATTTGAATTTCAAGGTATGTGCATTGATTGATGTAACATATTTATTATAGAATTTAATTTTGTTATTTTTTTATCATTTTGGAAAGAGAGTTTTTTTTTTTTCCTTAAATTTTGAAATATATTTAGAACGTCAAACAAACTTATAAAATACCAACAACTGTGTTCCACTAAGTTGTCTAATTGGAAGTTAATAATAACAGCATATATATATATATAATTTGCATTTTAATGAGTACGAAAATGTCTATTTTCGGTAAGGCAAAGAAATGCGATTTAAGAATATTAACTGAAGAATTGGGAGAAGATATAAATGACAGTCATAAAATGAACGATTTGAAAAAGATAATTTTGGCTAGCAAAAAGTACGATGAAGAATGCGCAAAAGAATGGTTAAACATTATAATAAATGAAAGAAAAGAAAAAGAAGAAATTGAAGAACGAAAACGTCAAGAAGAAATTGAAGAACGTAGGCGTAAAGAAGAAATTGAAGAACGTAGGCGAAAAGAAGAAATTGAAGAGCGAAAACGTCAAGAAGAAATTGAAAAACGTAGGCGAAAAGAAGAATATGAGGAAAGAAAACGAAAGTATGAAATGGAATTTGAACTGCAAAAACTACGTATTGAAGCAGAATGTAGATCTACAAATTCTGGCACTAATGAAAATGCCAGTGGTACGCGCATGAATCCAAAGTTAGAGCTTCCTCGTTTGATGCAAAAATTTAAGCCTGACGAGAATGATATCAGTTTATATTTAATCATATTTGAACGTTTGGCTAAACAAGTTGAAATACCAGAAAATACATGGGTTACTCATTTGCTTGGCTTATTGCTGTATGATATTGCTCAGTTAATCGCCGGAGAAACGGATGAAATTGCAAACGATTATAAAGAAGTTAAAAGGATCGTATTAAAACGGTACAAGATGACACCTGAAAAATTTCGCCAAAAATTTTTTACGCACAATAAGAGTGTAGGAAACACATGGAAAAATTTTCTGTATGAGTTAAGAAATTTTTTAATGAATGGTTAAGCGGAATTAAAGTAGATATTTTTGAGAAACTTAGCGACCTTATTGTAGCGGAACAGATAAAACGTAAAGTGTCTCCAGAAGTAAAAGATCATTTTATTGACATCTGGTCTGAGTTGATTTCACCAATTGATTTAGTTGAAAAACTTGATGATTATGATACCTTGAAGTCAACTTTCAACAATAAACAACCGCGTAAAGAAGGGTCTTACGACAAGCGAAACTCCTTTAAAGATGGTCCAGTTGCTACAATCAACGAAAATAAAAAACTCTACGGTATCACACATATGAAAAAGGTGACCAAAATGCTTCGGCTGTAATAATTTTGGACACATCTCAAGGGACTGTCCGCTGCCCAAACCAGTAGTAACATGCCGAAAATGTAATAAAGCAGGTCATAAAGCTAAAAATTGCGTTACTAAAGCTGAAAATAATCATTCAAATGATAAAAATTATTCTGTTGAGCAAGTTGGCGAAAATTTAGAAGAGAGCAATTCATATTTGAAGAAATCAAAACTGAATACTTCTGAAGAAGTACAGGCTTTAATTGATACGGGGAGTTCTTTTTGTCTCTTAAGGACTTCAGTTGCTCAGAAATTTAAAGTGAAACCAGAACCTGCTATGAATGAATCGTACGGTTTTGGAAGGTGCCTCCAGTGACCTCTATAGGAATGATTAAAGCCGATATTGAAGTTGATAATGTAAAAGGCCAAGGTATAAATATATACCTTGTACCTGATAATGCACAGCCAGTTGATCTAATCATTGGACGGACATGGCTTGATCTTCCTTACATCGCTTGTGTCAGAATAGGAAAAAGATTTCATTTCGGGTATAGGGAAGATAACTATTTAGTAACCTCCAAATTGATGAAAAAATAAATCGAGTCTGCCTTAAAACTCTTGAGGCAAATGAATTAGAGAAAAATACAATCAATCTTGTCAGTTCTCAAACAGATTCTGTAGATAATGGATTAATTATGATAGAAAATCCTTCCGAAGGTATCGGCTGTTTATTAGAAATTAAAAATGGCGAAACTTGTATACCAGTGATTAGCGTTGGCGATAGAAGTGTTAAACTCCAAAAAGATCAATGCGTTGGGAGTGCAGAAGAAGTTATATATATATATGCACTATGTTTAAATACTGAAATTTCTGAATTGAGCTCGAACTTAGCAAAAACGGAAAATATTAAAAACATAAAAGTTCCTATAAGTTTAAGCCTAGTTAAAATTGGCTCGGATCTCGATGTTAATCACCAGCAAAAGTTATTGTGTCTTCTGAATGAATACAGGGATTGCTTTGCACTAAATATTTCAGAACTAGGGTGCACAGATCT